TTAAGGGCTTACACCTGAGTAGAATTTTGAAAAAATCGATTTTTTTTTTGCATTTCTTGAAAATATGTAGTTTCAAAAATATTGTGTTAAAATATTATTAAGAAATTCGAAGAATTGTGGAAGTTACGGAGGTTTTACTGAAGCGGGGCGGAGCGGAGCGTAGCGGTATCGCGCCTTTTTCGCCGGTATCGCGAGATAGCTCTCTCCTCTCAGGACTTCGTGTTTTTCGAGAAGCCTCTCCTCAAGTCGTCATCGGTTTAACAATAAAAATTAGTTCCGCGAATGTTTATTATTTGTATCTCGACTTTATTATTTTCGCTCGCTGATATTTATATTGTTTTTATATGTTATTCTATCTACATTTCTTATAAACGTGTTTACATGTTTTTCAGTCTTTTGTTATTTGTTACTTTTCTATTATTTGAGATTTAAGGTCTTTCAGCGGTTAAATATATGTGACGATGTAATCGCCACAAGCCAATTATTCTGTAGTTTTGCAGTAGTGAACATCGTTGCGTTGTTTCGTAGTAAAATTTTTGTAAAACATGGAAAAAAATACAAACTTTACCCTCCATTCAAAAGTTTCAAGGGAAAGGCGAAAGTCAACAGGAGCATATAAATGTCGATCAAAGAAAAGAAAACCTCCCAAGAATCATTATGAAATTAAAGCAGAAAATAATGAGTTGAGTACATCAGCGAAGAAATTGCGAGCCAGTCATGTGTTAGAGCCCAGTATAAACGATAACATTGGTTACGTAATTTTAAATTTTGCAACAGTTTTTTCGTTTATTAGCGAACATGTGAAGTGCAAAACATGTGGGAGTAATATTAGTTTTGCCAAATCATCAACACGTGGTCTCGGTTTCAAAGTGCAAATTCTGTGTCCTTCCTGTGTGACTCAAAGCGTATCTTCGTGTCCGTATATATCAAATGCCTACGAAATAAATACGAGATTTATCTTTGCAATGCGGATGATAGGTATTGGATTAAGCGGAGCAAAAAAATTTTGTGGACTTATGGACCTTGCAAAGCCCATAGCTCAGTCCTCGTATGACACGGTTGTAAATCATATTTCAACTGCTTCAGAGGCTGTATTTTATTTAATTTCAAAAGAAAGTGTACAGGAAGAAAAAAAAGTCACAGAAGCAAAAGAAAATCAGGAAAATGCGGGAATAACCGTGTCCGGAAATGGTTCGTGGCGTAAGCGAGGATTCGATTCTTTATATGGAGTTACAACAATTATTGAACATTATACTGGCAGAGTTCTTGATTTGTTTATAAGTTCCAAAACTTGCAAGGCATGTGAACAATGGATTGGACTGGAAGAAACAGCAGATTATGAAAAGTTTCGAGAGCAGCATGCACCCAATTGTCAGATCAATCACACAGGGTCCTCTGGAAAGATGGAGGTAGAAGGAATGTCACATGTTTCAACGATCAGAAGAAAAATTCGGTGTCAAATACGTCAATTACATAGGCGATGGAGACTCCAAGACTTTTCCAGCAATAGTTAATAGCAATCCTTATCCTGGCATAATAATAACAAAGAAAGAATGTATTGGACATGTACAGAAACGAATGGGTACGAGACTTCGAAATTTGAAGAAAAAAACCACAGGACTTGGTGGAAAGGGCAAATTGACAGGGAAATTAATCGATGCACTTACTCGTTATTATGGCCTTGCAATACGACGTAATTGCCACTCACTTGAAGCAATGAAAAATGCTGTTATGGCTACTTTTTATCATTTACAATCAACTGACCAGAAGCCGCAACATGACTTGTGTCCGACAGGAAAAGATTCTTGGTGTAAATGGCAAAAAGCAAAAGCTTTAAATAAACTAGACAGTTTTCACCATGCACCCGCGCTTCATCCAGATGTTGTAAAAGCTATCGAGCCAATATACACGAATTTATCTTTAGACGAACTTTTAGAAAAATGCGTGGGAGGTTTTACACAGAACAATAACGAGAGCTTTAATAACGTCCTTTGGCGCATAGCACCCAAAATCACCCACAGCGGCTGCTGTATTATGAGAATTGCTTCTTACATAGCAGCCTGTACATTTAATGCAGGAAGCAAATCATATCTGCAAGTCATGGAATACTTGGGTATTAAAGTTGGACCAAATGCCAATAATTACTGTGAGGAGGCAGATGAAAATCGTCTTCATCAGGCCGAGATCCAAGCCGCGAATGCAACACGGGAAGGGAGAATTCGTCGTAAACAATTGCGAGCAGCTGATGCTGAGAACCTGCTTGAAATTGAAGGACTTTTATATGGTCCCGGAATCGCCGACTAAAGGTAAAATTAAAAAAAGAATTTTTTAAACAATTTCATTGTTAAATAACAAAAAAAATTTTTTTTAAATTATTATTAATAATTTTGAATCAAAATGAACCTTTTTTGCCTTTTGCATTTTTTTCGTAAGACGAGCCGTTTTCAAGTTATAGCATTATAAACAATTAATGATATCCAAACCTCGTCTCAAACTTTAAACGCGTTTTTCTCGAAACATGGTTTTAAAAACCGGTGTTCACGATATCTCGAGAACGGATCGATAGATCTTTTTGAAATTTGGACACGATATTCTTAGATGCTTTGTCTAATTAGCTACGATTAGACTTTTATAAATTTTTGTGACAAATGTTTAAAAAATGCATTGGTAACTTGAAAAAATAGGTTAAAAATCGACTTCAAACTTCAAACAGCCGCCATTTTTTGAAAAATTTTTTTAAATTTTTTTCGGCCCGTAGCTAACTGTCTTATATATCACTAATTAGGAATTTAATGTTCATTTTTGTTCCAGATGACGTGACAACCCAAAATGGTGAACACCGAAAAAAAACGGGGCTTACGCTGACGCCAATAAACTATATTTATTGTTAATAAATTTTAATTAAAAAATTCACAAACGTATTTGTTTAGGATTAAGGTAAAATCAGGTGGCAGGGCGCTGTCGCGAAAGTAATCGCCCCTGGCGCAAGCACAAACAACCCTCGGGCTTGACTCGACTTTATCCGAGATCACCCGAGTATCGCGCTGACCGTCGACAGCGCGATTGCAAAACGCGCACGCGTATTCCTAAATATGTATACCGCGCAACGCGTTACATCGCGGATCCATGTGATTCGCCCTTTGTGAGGCCCATACCCCCGCCGAGGGTCTCCTCTCGGGACGAAGGATAATCGATATCGATCCGCGCTCTCTTCTGTTCTCTGACGCGACAAGAGACACATCGAGCCGGGCGTTCGCGACATTGTGCCTATCGGGAGTGGTCTCGACCGCCAGTGCGTGAAGTCCGTAATCAAGTTTCATCGCGAGCCGCATCCGTGAGATCGCCGCGTGAAACATCTCGAATCGCTCCTTCGCTCTTGCCGCGAAGAGTGAGCCGTTTTCCGACTGCGAGGAGTTCGGTATGGGGGAACGCGAGACGCCCTGTGAGAGGGGTAGTTTCGAGCGTACAAGTGTCGACGCGAGTGGCATTAGTCGTCGCGCATTATCTCTCGTCATCCGAGATTGACGAGATTTGTCGCCCGCAATCGAGTGGGTAACGCGCACAAACGGATCACGTGATCACCGCGTGCGGTACCGTGATCCTCATCTAAAGGACCGTACAGACGGCGAACGAAACCGTCACAGGCAGTCAGCCCGGGTATAGTGATTGCCCCAAGTGACGTGATAACCGAGCGTAAGTGCAAGCGAGCACTCCTCAATAACTCAGCGCAGGGAGTTCGATCCCGATATCGACCCCTCCCTCGCGGCCAGTTTGTCGTGCCGCGCCGTTCGTGAACACGGACCATCAGCGTGAATGTAAAGCGTATAGTGATTGTGTAAAACGCGACCTCACTATCGCGTACCCGAGACAAAAAGAAAGCCTGAGCATCTCGCACCTCGTGACCGCGGTCGCTCGTCTGCTTCGCGCCAAGATATCCGTTGACCGCGAACAAGATCTCCGAACGCGAGGGCGGTCATCTACCGCTCTACAAGATTTCCGTTTCGCGAGCCACGCAGACAGAAGGAGCGACTCAAGATTTCCGTCCCGCCATCCCGCGAATGCTTCGGGTGCTCGGGTGCGTGAATGCGAGAAGTACTCTATGTGCAATAAAGTGTGTTTGTCAGAATAACCCGGCGAGCGTTTTTTGAACCCTCTTTTCGCTACCTCCTTGGTTCTTGCCCCGCGCCCTGGACAGGGTGGTCCCGGCATACTTCGTGTCCTAAGGGTACCTCGGTCGCGCACGAAACAGTATTAGAATACATGCTCTTTTTAACAGAAAAAAATTTTTTTGAATAAAGCAATTATTTCCCGAGAAAAAAATTCCCAAAATATGGTCACTTTACTCAGGTGTAAGCCCTTAAAGCTTCAAGAAACAATAGAAGTATTTGATTCATGATCTGAATCATCTAAATCACTGGAAACAACATAGTCTGGATCATTATAATCCTCACTGTTCTCATAAACACCTTCTGAAATCAAAGCATATAATAATTTGTAAAATAATGTTATTACATTAACATTAATTTTTAATGTCAGTAATATTACATATAAATAAATACATGAGAAACATCAGATTTTAGAATACTTAAAAATAGATTAAAAACTATTTTCTATGCATGAATGCTAAATAGTTATCAAGGGATTCCGTGATTTTATCAACGATATAAAAGTTTTTAATTATAATAATTATTTGTAAACAAAAAAAACATTACAAACACATTAAGTTCTTAAAAAAACTGAATAAAATCAA